TATATATTAGTCATTATCGTGAACCAACTATAATTTTAGAGGTGGAGGCTTCATAAGATCTTTGGATATGACATGCATTTTTGGAATGCCTAGATCATTAAATGATATTAAAGTTCTTGATCAATCACCTATTTTCACTGCACTTGCTGAAGGTCGAACTGCTTCTGTCAATTATACAATGAATGGGCATGAATATACAATGGGATACTATTTAGCAGATGAGATTTATCCTAATTGATCAACCTTTGTTAAGACAATCACAAGGCCATTAGGAGCAAAGAGAAAATATTTTACAAGTAAATAAGAGTGTGCAAGAAAAGATGTGGAGTGGGCATTTGGGGGTGCTCCAATCTCGTTTTGCAATTGTACGTGGACCTGTTCATACTGGGATGAAGAAACATATGCAAATATTATGAAATCTTGCATAATAATGCATAATATGATTATTGAGGATGAATGAGTAATAAACCTTAGATTTGATCATAAACGTGAAGTCAATTCCTTTATATCAGTGTCACATGGTGAAATACCAGAATTACATGATTTTTTTCAAACTCATAATCAAATTAAGGATATAACAACTAGCTCTTAACTATAAAAAAATTTGGTTGAACATTTATGGTAATAATATGGCAACAAGTAGAATCATTAGATTTTAACTTCTTATGTCATCATAAGTTTCAAGTTTTTTATGTTTTTTTTTTTAATTATGGTTGTTATCTTTTAAGTTAATTAATCCTGCTTATTGTTGTTGAGTGTTAGAAGAACTTCAAAAAAGTATTATAAATTGATACCACTTTTATAACAATATATTTAAAATAACCAAGAAATTTCTACATATTTAATTAAAAATACATTACATTAAATAATAAATCACTCTAGTTAATTAAAAATTAAAACCTCTCTTTTATATAATTTCTAACTTTTTATTTTGAAAATACGCTATAGAAATTGGATCCAAATTAGAAATATCCATTTTCATAATTTTTTTCTTTCTCAATCCTGTCCAATTCTTGTTTCTCTTGACTTTGTTGAATCATCATAGCTTGTTGCTCTAACATAGTTTTTCTGTCTTCTTTTTTCTGATCCTCAATTTCAACTAGAGTATACCTGAATTATTGTAAGAGATTTGTTATAGTTACCTCCCCAACTTTATTTTTTCTTTGTTTACGTTTAAGTCATTTCTTTGCAGCCTTCTGACAAGTTGGTTTGTCTTGATAAATCAACGATTCATTGTCTTCTCCTAAACTAACAGAATCAGGGGTAAACGGAGCTGATAAAGCTGAACTTGCATTGACATGACTTTTTTATTTCTTGTTTGACTTTTGATGTTGACTTGCATGCTCAAATTGTTATTTGAGTTCTTTTCTTAAGATAACCCAACAATGTTCTAGTTGAAATCGTTTGTCAACAGAAGAAGTATACATTTGTCGAGCATCAATAATCTAGTAAAAAATTAGAGAAATTAAATAATGTTAAAATATATGTTAAACAATTTAATATGAAATTGAATATTAAAATTACCCTTGATTATTTGGTTATTCCACTTTGCTGATGATTTTCAATTTGAGTAACAAATCCAATAAATTTACTGATTTTTTTATTTATTTCTTGTCATCTACTTGAGATGCTTATTTGGAAACAATTATTCAAATTTCCTTTATTCTCTACAAAGTAAGCATGTACTCGAGCCCAAAATTGTTTTGTTTGTTGTTCAACTCTTATAATTAGATCCTTGCTTGTATTTAGCCATGCAGAGACAAGTAAACAATCTTTCTTTGGTAATAAGTTTAAATTCGAATTGTTTTCTTTGTGATTTTTTTGCTGAATGGACATTTAAATTCAAGTATGTTAAGTTATCAATTAATTGATTAAAATCACTTGGTTGAGAGAAAATATCTTCTAACTCACTCATAAGAAAATTGGTAAAAAGTCTTGAAAGATTTGAATCCATCTACATTAAAAAAAAAACTCAAGTTAAAACCTTATAAAAAAGTGTAAAAGAAGCTCACATTCAATATCTAGCAAATTTGTAAATTCCATACATGTGAAATAATAATAAGCATTGCCTTTTACTTGTTATAACATAACAATTTGACTATTTTTTTGGAACTAAAAGAGGATTGATATACTAGTTTTATTGTATTTTCTATAAGACAAAATATAATTGACCTTAAATTAAAACAAACATTCAAAAATAAATCTTAAATATGTCATCCTATATTTTTATCATTATCAACTTCCATTATTACTTCCTCTCAATTTGTCAAAGATAACAACAAAATATCTTCCTTAACCCATATAAAGAACATAAAATAATAAAGAAATAAAAATCATCACAAATATCAAATCAACAACAAAAAATCTAAAAAATCAAGAGATATAAAAAAAATAGAAAAAGCTTTTAAATAAACATACTTTTTAATTTCAGCTAATTAACACAATCGATGTTATTCATTAACCAGAGAATAATTGATTCTTGTTTCTTATTTTTCTAAATTTAATAAAAAGATGAGACACAATATAAGATTTTAAAATTTACAAGTTATTTATTTTTATTTTTAAAGAAAAAAATAAATTGTTGGCCAACGACTATAAAATAACTAAATGAAAAGACAAATTTAAATAATTGTTGGCCAACAATTTTTTTTATTTTTTTTATAGAAAAATATAAAAATAGCTTTTCAAAAAATAAATAGCTAAAATAGCTATCCATTTGCTTGAGACGAAGGAGTGAATAAATACATAAGCAAAAATTAAAATATAACTTTTTAAATTTATCTTCTAATTTAGTTTTCTCGTTGGAAATTCTCTTAATATTTTAATTTTTATAAATAAACATAAAAAAGAAAGAGCATCTATAAATTTTTTTATGTAATTTTATAATTTATATTTATTTTATATTTTTTACATCGTGTTAAAAATATATTTTTAACGATTTTGGTTACAGGATGCGAAATCGAGTGAACGGACTGATTGAACAAGAAAACAAAACTCTCCCGCAGCCCACCGTCTCTCTCCGTCTCTGTTCTCCCAGTCTCGCGTGCAGCTAGCCAGCCACCGTAAACGCAGTCCACTGAAACCCTAAACGCAGTCACCCTCCCTCCCTTAACAGACACAATAACCCTAAAACAGTGACCTCTCTTCTCTCTTCTCACCGCCTCTCTTATCCTCTCCGGTCTCCAGCACCTCCCCAATTGCAGTTGCAGGCTTGCAGCCTCTCACTTCTCTGGCGTGCAGCCAGCGTCCCTAACCCTCAACAGCAGTGCAGCCTCTCTCTTATCTGTATGTTTCTTCTGTAAGGTTGGTTAGTTTCATTAACTCGTGGTACGTCATGCATCTATTGTTAACTATTAATTAGCTTTATAATCCATTAGGTGACTAAAACTCGTGGTACGTCATGCATCTATTGTTAGCTATTAATTAGCTTTATAATCCATTTAGGTGACTAATCAAAACCCTTAAAAAGATATATATAATCAATTCCCAATAGCGTATACTTGCATTGTTCAAGAATCATTGAATTTGCTATGTTAAACAATATATATATATATATATATAATCAATTCCCAATTGCGTATACTTGCATTGTTCAATAATCATTGAATCTGCTATGTTAAACAAAACATTTCTGCATAAGAAATGTAGCAGCTGGAGTAGGTTATTTAGCACAGCTATCTAGTTGATATATTATGATGTTGATGCTGACTTGCCCTCAAATCATTGTAATAGCTAAACTAATAGCTCATCTTGATGAATGGTTCTGGTTTTACATTGAATCTGATTTCTTTGTTATGTTTTCAGTAGCCAGCAAAATGATGTTGTTGTTGTTGTTGCTATGCGATTTTCCTATAAGATGTTTACTAAAAAGATCATTGCCTTTCAATGTTTTGTGATGCTGAGCTTCACTGGTCTTTTGACTATGTGAAGATCTATGTTGTCCTCTTGGGCATTTTTTTGTGTGTGTCGGTGTGTGAATTATCAATTATGGGAGTTTTCACATGCTTAGGTAAGGAAATTCCATCCGAGCTAGGAGCTGATTATTTTTTAAGAAAAAAGGAAAATTTAGTGGATTACTTATAGAGTTGGATGCACAAACTTGTGTGGAAAGTAATTGATGATAGCATGCAGTTCAGGGAACTGTTATATTCATATATACTTTACAAGAAAGCTTTTGAGCTAGGATATGCTGTTATGCTGTAGTTTCATAGTTTGTAAGAAAAGTCTGAAAAAAAGTAGTGCACATTTCATATGCTTCCATGCTGATTTATACAAGCAAGGTTTGATTGAATTGATCATAAATCATTGACATATTGGAATTTGAATATCTGAAATGTGCATCCTTTTTCTCTGGATAATTATATATGCAATATGACTTGATGGTGCCAGTCAGAACTCCATTCTGTTTTTTATTGTGGTAGTTGGTTCTAGATAATTCTTTCATCAAACTAGACAATAGAGTTGGATGGAAGCTTTTGTTGCCATCCTTTTAGGCAGAGGAATTTTCCAGATTTCATTAATGTTTCCTACATCCTGTTATCAATTTGGATGAATTGGATCACTTGTGTATATCTCAGGGTTTTGCCTAAGCTACCAAGTCAGTTTTATTGTCTATTTGGGTAGCTCATAGAAAAAGGGAATGGAAGATATGCTGAAGTAAAAATCCGTAGAATTATTTATGGGCTTGAAAAGCCCTTGGTAAAAACAACTCAGGGCCATTGTAAAAAAAGTCCAAAAGAAACTTTGAAAAGCCCAAAAAATTGTATAAATAACTCAGGCCCATCATAAAAAAGCTGAAGAGAAGCTTTGAAAAGCCAGACCCAATAAAAAGCCCAATTAAAGTGTAATAGATTTTACAAGATTGAAACAAAAAAACGAAACTAAATTGAAACTTGTTGGTTTGAAATGGTTTTTGATTAAATTCACTTGAACAATTTTGATTTAGTTGTTTTCTTAATATAAAACTGAATTGAAATGAAAATGATCACCCCTACAATATATCAAATTTATAGTCCAACTTATTTTTCTATAACCGGGATAGTCTTGGATGACAGATGCCATTAAACCTGATAGTGGTATGTACTAGCAAATATAACCCTAAACAAAGCCTATTATTACTTGCAGCCTCACTATTTCTGCAACTCTCCTCTCTTCCCTTTGTAATAAAAATCCCCTCACTCTAATACCCACAAATCTCCTCAGATCAACAACCCACAAAATGGCCATAAGGACACCGATTTTTCACTTTTTTGCTTAATACCACCTCGTCCTTGTGCCATTTCTCAACCACTACTACATCTGATTGTCACCATAGCTACCTGACCACTATTCTGTCCCAATACAATACACAAGCTCATCAATCTTTCTTGATCCCACTTGAAGACCAACAACACCATCTGAGAAGTTCTCCATCCACACCCGTTCTTCCAAAGCAAACTCTCTCTCTTTCTCTGTATTAGCTGGTGATGATTTTCTTTTTTGCTATTGTTAGTTATGAATACTTTTCTCATGAATAAATATTGTAATTCTGATAAATAGAATTTGATATTTACAGCAGGTGATTGATGGCTGATCAGAAGCACAGAATCCTGATGGTTTCAGATTTTTTCTTTCCCAATTTTGGTGGTGTTGAGAGCCATATTTATTATCTATCTCAATGCCTGCTAAAGCTTGGTCACAAGGTAGGTTTACTTGTAAGCTGTTAAAATCATCATCATTTGTGCTTTTCTTGAAAATGTGGTTGCCCACTTGAGAATGTCATCTGATTGGTGGTAGATGTGGTTGATTGTGTAAGCTATTTATTTATATTTCATGATTTTTCAGGTGGTTGTTATGACTCATGCTTATGGTAATCGCTCTGGGGTGAGATACATGACTGGTGGCCTTAAAGTTTACTATGTACCATGGAGACCATTTCTTATGCAGAACACCTTGCCAACTGTTTACGGGACGCTTCCAATTGTAAGGACTATCCTTGTTCGAGAAAAAATATCATTGGTGCATGGACATCAAGCCTTCTCAACTCTTTGTCATGAAGCGTTGATGCACGCACGCACCATGGGTTACAAAGTTGTATTTACTGATCATTCACTCTATGGTTTTGCTGATATCGGAAGCATTCACATGAACAAGGTGTTGCAATTCACTTTAGCAGACGTGAGCCAGGCCATTTGTGTTTCTCATACAAGCAAGGAAAACACAGTGTTACGGTCAGGTCTACCACCAGAAAAGGTTTTCATGATACCAAATGCTGTGGACACTGCTATGTTCAAGCCAGCCCCAGAGCGACTTGGCAATGATGAAATTATTATTGTTGTGATAAGTAGATTGGTTTATCGAAAAGGCGCAGACTTGCTTGTTGAAGTCATTCCAGAAATTTGCCGTTTGTATCCTAATGTGAGCTTAGTCCATAATTCATAGATTTACTTGTTTTTATGCTCCCATGCATATGCAGCACTTGAATTACTTCATCAGATGGATAGTCATATACAGATGTTGCCAACCACCAAAAGTAGGCATTGTTTTATGGGATTTCCTCCACTGTTTAAATTCTTTTTCCACCATCCACTCCCCCAAATGTGATTACTCTTGTGTTAGAGTGGTTTTTTATGTATGGGCCTAAGAGAAGTAAGAACATGAAAGTGATACTGGTGAATGAGTTTTCTTGATGAAATTCTTTTACCAGGTATTATACATGTGCCCTTTCATTATATTGAATTTGAAAGGTTGAGATAACTCTTTTGCAGCCTTTTCAAGTTCCCCTTACGTATATAGGTACATGACCTCTTGAATGAACACATTTACATGCAAATGCTCTCCTGCCATTTCTTGAAATTTCAGCATGAAGATTATGATCATGAAAGTTTTTATCTTCTTTCATGAAATTTTGAGAATGAATGTATTTACTTGAAAATGCTCGCCTGCCATTTCTTGAAATTTGAACATGAAAACTAAGATCATGAAATTTTTTATTTCCTTTCATATGCTTTTGACCCTTTGTTTCAATTTGATAGAATCATCAATGAGTGCGTGACCACATCCTAATTTTGGCATCTTGCTTTTCCTTTCCATTAATATGTCAAACTTGCACGTGGTATTAGGCTTACAATACAAATTTCTATCCTATCCTTTTGGCTGGTTGATATTCATCATGGGACTGCATTACTAGGACGGGGCTCCGTGAAACATGTATTCAACTAAATCTTGGGCCAACGTTTATTTTTTGAGAAATAATCTTGGACTCTTCATATTCACAGAGCATCAGTGGGTAATAGGATCTGTATTTAGGCAATCAGAATTTTACTTATCTCAATTGCTTCTAGTCAAGTCATTTGGAATATGCATGTATTAAGGTCAGGTTCATTGTTGGAGGAGATGGACCTAAACAGGTAAGGCTGGAAGAGATGAGGGAAAAACACTCTCTTCAAGATCGAGTTGAAATGCTGGGTTCTGTACCACATGCTCATGTACGCTCTGTCTTGATTTCTGGCCATATATTTCTAAACAGGTCAGAGGTTCTCTGGATTCTAATGTTAGACCATTCTTGTCATTATTTTAATATAGTAGCTCGACAATGTTCCTTTGGCATGGATGTATTTACCCTGAAGTGGAAATACAAATAGTAATAGAGCATTTGGTGGAGGTCCGCTATATATTTCTATTAGTAACATTATTGCAATTAATCATTACAAGTAGATTTATCATTGTTTGCTTGGAAAGAGATGAAAAACCTTTTATTTTTAGCTGTTTTAGATGGATTGTTAGAGATGTTGACTTAAGACTGATCTTCTACCTAGACAGGAGCCCTTCTTCTGCAAAATTTTTCCCTTTGCCTGTTCATACCATTTCCTCCTGGCCTTTACATTAAATTGATTTTCACCAATTAATCAAAGGCTTATTCAACAAGAGCCCAGAGTTACCACTTCTGTAAATTTGATGAACGGGCACATTTGAATTTGATATGGTTTATGAGCAAGAGGTGCATGCCTAGTTTTTGGAGACGATTCTTTTACATATGCTGTAAGTAGCTCTATATTATGTCAAGAAACTTTGCTTTCACAAAAATCAATTATAAATAATGACACAAAACCTGGCAAAAGGATCTAAAAACTATCATAAAGTTTAAGAAAGACTCTTTAAAAGTTGGCAGCCAAAAAATGAGCTCCTGAACACCCAAAAAGATCAGATTGTGTTTTGGACATTGCTTCACGATAAATGTTTGTTTTTGTTGAATATTGTCTCATTTTTTAACTCTTTGGGCAGTTCTTTGACAGAGGCGTTCTGCATAGCCATTTTAGAGGCAGCTAGTTGTGGGTTATTAACAGTCAGCACACGCGTAGGAGGTGTACCTGAGGCATGTATCATGAGAGGTTTCTTCTCTGTCTGGTTAAAATGATATCATATGCTTCTCTGTTTTACACAACCTTGCTAGAGACATCTTGCAGAATTGAAATTCTAGAAATCCCAAATCATACAGACAGCTAATTTGTTACTTCTTTTGATGTTTAGGTTCTACCAGAGGACATGATTGTACTTGCAGAACCTGATCCTAGTGATATGGTAAGAGCAACTGGAAAGGCGATATCTCTACTTCCAAATATTGATCCGCAACAGATGCATAATCGTGTGAGTGAGCCATTCATAATAATGTTGGTCTCCCTGAGAATTTCATAATAACTATTCACAATGGCTGAATCTCTGTGCTGCAATTGATGCTAGATGAAGAAACTCTATGATTGGCATGATGTTGCAAAACGAACAGAGATTGTTTATGACCGTGCTTTGAAATGTCCCGACCAAAATTTGTTAGAACGACTCTCACGGTAAGCAACTGAGATTTGTCTAATGAGATTAAATAACTGTTTGTAAATCAATGCAATTTAATGTGAAGTTGTAGTGACTGTTAACCCGCTAAATAGAGTTGATTGGTGTTTTCTTAACTTTGGTGGCTACACTACTTGTTTATTAGGTACCTCTCTTGTGGTAGCTGGGCAGGCAAGATTTTCTGCTTCGTTATGATAATTGATTTCTTGCTATGGCGTCTGCTGCAACTATGGCAGGTACTACCTGTTCCTACATATATAGAGTCATGACCTTATAGACTAATTCAATTCTCCACATGATATTTGACCTTTTATTCTTTTCTTCACCCCCCCACCCTTTTTTTTTTTTGAACTTTTTGAATTTTTCTTCAGCCAACAGAGGAGATTGAGGAGGTGCCTGAATTTACTTTACCCCGTCATCAAGATGAGGAAATAATCTCAAATTTCAACTAGGAACAAAATTTGGGGTGACATTGTAGGTTTAAAGTCCTCTTGGTTCATATAGATGGCTGTTGGTTTTGGGTTCCATAGCAGAGGACTCCTCTTCCTTCCATATAATTTCTTTCATCCCTGCGTGTGAGATGAATTTTGATATCAGATCACTTTGTTTCATATATTGATTTAGCTAGTTATTAATTAAATCTTATGAAATTTGTTTGCATGTATGTTAATTAAATCTTATGAAATTTGTTTGCATGCATGTTCTCTTTCCAATTAATTGTAATGCATGCTGAAAAAAATAGAGGTAACTGCTAATTTTTCTTTGAACTCGGCATCAAAAGAGCCAAAATTTGGAGGAATGATCAAATTAGAGAGAATGCAAGACTTTTATCCTGTTTCGTCACATCTATTTTTTAGTCGAAACAATATATTTTTTTATTATTTTTAAAATTTTATTTTTAATATTATTAACACATTAAAATGATATAAACATATAAAAAACTAATTTAAAATTCAATTTTTTTTCCTTTGGTAAGCTCCAAGAAGACTTGCAACCTACAAGTTACAAGCAAGAAGGCATCACTCCACTTCACTGATTGCTCGGGATGATGATGATTAAAAGGAACAAAAGAAAACGGAAAATCAAAACAAAAAGATACATAATGAATACATTTTGGCTGCAACCACTCAACTTCTGCATCATCACCTTGCATATGATGCAAATGTAATTGTAACCTCAGCTAGCCCTCGAGACTTCTGGTCATTATGGAAGTAGTGATGGTATTTTAAAATATTTTTTATTTATAAATATATTAAAATAATATTTTTTAATTGTTAAAATTTATTTTTAATATTAATATATTAAAATGATCTAAAAAAATAAAAAAATAAACTTGAAATAAAAAAATACATAAATTTTATCTAAATAAACGAGAATAACCTTATTTCTACAATGAAGGACTAGGCTTTCAGTCAATAACTCAAACAAAAGTGTATATCATGATTCGTGTATGAATATTCATATAACATGCTAGAAAAAGGAAATAAGCTATAGGATTTCTCAATCACTTTTCAAAATATTTTTTTAATTTTTTTATTTATAAAAATTTCAAATTGATTTTTTTATTAGTTTTCATGGTTTATATGTTAATATCAAAAAATTAAAAAAACATTATTTTAATGTATTTTTAATTAAAAAATATTTTCGTGAAAGCATCATGTACTAATTATCAATCAATTGGAGTAAAACAATATGAACAAGGAGGAAATCCAAACTTAAAAAGACTTGCACCTTGAATGGCTTCGAACTTAGAAATTCTTGCTTCTGTCAACACAGAAATTGATAAGATCTACAAGCAAAGCGCAGGCTGCAACTTTCCTATGGAACCACGACATTCTGTACTGTATTGCTGTAAATATGTTCAAGCATGCTCCATGTAAATATGTTCAAGCATGCTCCATGGATTTCAACTTTTTATACAGGATATTGGATCATCATGTGAATCCTGTTTCAAGAATACAGATTTTCTAATTTTGTGTCTCCAAGTCATACGAACTGTACTAAAAGTTAGCTGAATCTTTTGTAACTCCCGGGTCAAAATAGACTGGATGTTACAAACTTTAGTTCCAACTTGATACAGATTATAACATCCTTCATGAAAACTTTTAATCAATGAAAAAATATTAGTCGGCAGATTCCAATGAAATTACCGACGAAAAAACTTCAATCACTAATTAATTATGGAATTGCCGACATAATAAGATAATTAAAAAATCAAGAAATATATGGACTCAGGAAAATTCCACATTACTTTTTGCCTGACAAAAATATTCTATCACAGGTTTCCTTCGAAAATCTCATCAATCAATATAGAAATGTTATGTTACCAGAAGGTGTGTGAAAATCACAATTTATTAGATAAAATTGAATTTAAAATGTTCTATTTTTTTAAATGTATGAATTTATGATTTATTTTTATATATCAGGTTGCATGATTTCTAGTACAAGGTGTTTGAAAAATAAAAAAAAAATATACAACTAGTACAAGGTGTTTGAAAAATAAAAAAATATATATATAAAAAAAAGGTTTTCCAGGCTGGAAAGACGTTGTGTGGAGGGATTTTATACATCCACTCGTCTAAAAGACTATATAAGAAGCTTATATCTAACATGTGATGTCTGAGTCTTTTATATGGCTGTTACAGTCCGGTATAAAAAACTATAATAGAGAGATTCATGATTCAATTACCATGCATGTTAGTATATCCATTCCATTCATTTTGCATACGAAGAAAATGGTAAAATTCTATTGTATTACATACATTTTATTTAAAATTATTATTTTATATGAAAATTGTAACAGTTTGGCCCTTCTGATGTGGGGTATAACAAAAATATTTAACTAATAATAACTTTTTTTGCAAGATGGTTCTTAGACACGATCCAAGACCAATGAAGCTTTTTGTTGAAATTTATATGCAAAATAAGGATTGTTGGAAAGGGATGCAACAACTCGTGGATAGTTAGGCTTTGAAATTCATGGTAAGTTGGATTTCAACAATTATTTTCTTAAATTATTATTATTATTTTTTAAATTTATTGACTGTTTTTTTCATGAAACATATAATATCTTATTGCAAGAGAGATGCAAGGATAATATTTTGACCCATCCAGAACTCGATCTGGATTTGTAGTTGGAAGTTGGATCGTTTCATGAACCTGATAAAAATTGAATTTACAATATCTCAAATACTACGACCATAGTGTATTGATCATTAATTCCTTACAATCAAGTTCAAGCTCTTAATCATCGATTTACTGCTGAGATAACCCCTCTTAGGTTTGAGACAATTGAACTTAGGCGATTATACTAAGATTTGTTATCAATGGTACATATGATCTACCTCATCGCCCATATGATCTTGGTGATGATTTGCCTCCACCACCACTACATATGATCTACCTCATCGCCCATATGGTCTTGGTGACGATTTGCATCCACCACCACCACCACCACCACCTCCTCCTCCTCCTCCTCCAACTCCTCCTCTTCCTCCTCCTCCTCCTCCTCCAATTTCTGTCTATTAGATAAATTATATTCAATAATATTTTTTAAATTAATAATAAAATTTGTTTATTTTATTTTAGTTTTATTCTTAAAAAATATTCAATACAATACTAACAAAATTACCAATGAAATTTGAATCACAAATGCCAAGACTGATGAACCACCTCTCTTGGAAAGTTCTAGAGAGTTGGAAAAAAGTTATATAACTTTTACACTTACATTTATAAGTAGAATTACTGACAGATTAAGTCCTTTAAAAAATTCTAGAGAGTTCAAAAAATTATAAAACTTGCCATTGAAAATATGTAAATCTCCTATGGATTAATAATTTTATTAATAATATGACTTCAATCATTGATATAATCACTAATGATTTATTCTATTGATAACATGCCATACTCATTGATATAATTATTAATGAAATGATACCAATAATTGTTTTTGACATGATTTTTTTATTTTTAAATTTATTAATGATTATATTGATGATGAAATGACTACCATGATAGAAAATATTAATAATATATTTTTTAATGACTAGTTATTATTCATGATTATATTAATAAATTTTTTTTATAAAATTAATGTTTAAATACAGACAAAATATCTATGTCGGTATTATACTTGTTATGGATGTGTTTATAGCTAGTAGGACACCAATTCTGCTTGCTTGCCTAATTTGACCGTCGTCACCTCACTAACGTGACCCAATCTTGATGTGGAAAGCTGAAAATCCTTGAGTGGGGGGGTTTTGGTCGTTAGTTATGGAAACAATATGCATGGTTTCGTTCACCTTCTTTCAACTTTTAGTCTTGTTGATTTTAACCCTAGCTAGCTATCTCCTATATCTATCAAAACAATGTAGCTTCTAACGACTCAATTATTTGAAGTCTTAAAATAAAACGATCAGTATAAATGGTCAAGTTTTCCTCTGGGTGGGATGATCTATACTTAGGAGTTCAATACAAGGCATATCTAGATAGAATAAATTTATAGAAGATAGAATTACTGTGTGTGTGTGTGTCATAGTGAATGTAATTAATTAATCCATTTTTTTTTATTTCCCTCTGATTGTTAAAGTTTATCCATTCTTTCAATAAGGAAAAAAAAAAAACTAATTCTTTGCTTTCTTTATTTTTTTTCTCCTCCAAAAATCCTTTTGAGCTGGCCACCGTTGTCATTGATTTTTTATATACGTTTTCCCATGTCTCTTCAATTCTTTTTTTTTTGGTAGTGATTTGTCTCTTTGCTTTATTCATTTGATTGATTGATTGATTTTTTTTTTTTTATGAATGGTTTCTTCATTGATCAAAATCAATTTGAGCAAATTGCTTGTAAGGTTTGTGCAATATGCAAACACTACAATACAAACACTACGTTACTAAGCAGGTGACACGATGATAAAAGATTTAAGATTGTTTTAAGTTTAAGTCAAGATATTTATTTTTTGTAAAAACTTGAAATAATTAGGTTTTACTTGTTAATCTAAACCTATAAAATATATTTTTTAGAAAATAAATTTTTTTTGAATCCAAAAAAATAGATATGCAAATACTACAATACAAACAACAACAGCAAGAGACAAATCACTACAAAAAAAAATGGAATTCTTTTCTTTTGTATAACAAATAAGACTAAATCTAATTTATAATACTATGATAGACTTTTTTAATTTGATAGTCCTATAACTGCATGCTCCTCGTCCTCATCTAAATCAGTAATATAGCATCATTTTTTTGGAATAAAATATTTTAATAAAATTCAAGGTTTCACATAATTATGGACATAGGGCAATAATTTTAAAAAACTGTATTATATAAACTTTCCTTTGAGCTTTTTGCGAGTCCGCAAGCCCTCCCTAATCTCATATAAAGTTGAAATCGTAAAGCACAAATATTTAACTAGGTATAATTATCACAAGAGCAAATTTATTTGTTGGATCAGAACAAAACAGTATTTATGCATATAAAACCAAGACGGTCCTTAATCAACAAGAAAGTGCTTTCTGTTTCACTTAGTGGATCGAGCTAAGTGCAATACAACTAAGGGACTTTCCATCGAAAATCATTTACTTTCTCACAAAAGTTATGGTCATCTCAAGAGATATGATAGAAATATGAGAAAGTTTGAGCGCAATTGATAGAGTATTCAAAGGT